GGCAATGAGAGCACACTTGATGTTGGTGCACAGGCATCTCATAGAGCCAAGGTAACATCCATCAAAGGGAATGGTTTTCTTCTTCTTTATGCTGGAATTCCATGACCTCCAGTATACATCTTCCTGGTCCACTGGGCTAATTTTGGGTTAAATGTCCATATCTAACCCACTCACAAGCAAGGCATAGGATTACCATGGCTGGTTTCCCCCATAGGCGAGAGTTTAGATAATAACAGTTTTAATTTTAATATTAAGGTTTCTGTGCTTTATCATATTACCCAAGTATTAATTACCTTTGTCCCACACTGACAGAATTATCTCGGTATGCTTATTACAGATGAAAAATTATCTTAAATTGGAAAAGTTTATCCCAAAGCCTGTTTTTTGCCTTATTCTAGTACAACTAGAAAATATGTAGTGGACAATCCAAAAGCTTTCACAAAAACAGCCTTATTCATCTTAGTCCATTGCTATTTGTTATGCAGTTAATATTTGTATATTACTTTACAGCAGAATTGAATGGAAATGGAAGTAGAGACCTGATTTTTAATTACATTTTCTGCTTCTTCCTGAAATAAGAAATGACAAAGTGTTGTTGTTGCATAACCTTGCAATTAATAATAACTTTTCCAAAGTTTTTATTTCATTTCAGGGTGGGTGTATATCTCAGTGGTAAAGTGCTTACTTACTATTTGTTTGCTCCTGGGTTTGATCCCAAACATTGCAACAGGGGAAACAAGTTTTATTTCAAAAAGAACCTTCTATGTGATTTAGTACAGTAGTCAAGGATACAGACTGTGAGATAGCAAAGGAACTTAATTATTTCATTGAAACCCATTTGGTAATGATATGACAACAGGGTTCATCTGCAAAATGAAGAAAATAATTATACAAGGTGTGGTCAAGATATACAATGAATATTTAAATTCAAAACTTTATTGTAGTTAATGACACATTATCATTAGTCCCCTTCAAAATACTTCCCCTTACGTTGAACACTTCTATCCCATTGTGCATGCCATTTTCTGAACCAGTTCTGGAAGTCCTCTTTCATGAGTGTCTTTATGAAGTGCAACCAAAAATTTGGTGAACACTGCTTTCCAAGTGCCACACAACAGAAAGGCAGGCTAGTAAAGGTTGTAGTATGTCTTTATCTACCTTATTCTCTGAATCTAGCAAAATGTGTCTTCTGGATCTTCCCCAACATCAAAATGACTACAAAAGTTATACATTCTGAGTCAGTTCAAGCCCTGAGGCAGCCACAACAGTGCAACAAAAGACATTCACTGTAAAAGACTTCAAGAATTACTTCAGAAAGTGGCAAGAGGGCTGGGGATTTAGCTCAGCAGTTCGGTGGCCTGCCTTGCAAGCACAAGGACCCAAGTTCAATCCCAGGTACCAAAAAAAAAGACAGTGGCAACAATGATGGAACAAGGGTGTTCCTCAAGTGAGGGAGAGCATTTTGAGGGCTATGAATGGCAATGTGGACTTCATTGTAATACAGCTTTATTTAAACATTCACTGTAGTTTTCTATTGTACTTTGTACCTACTTCAAGAACTTGCTATACAATATGAATAAGATTAATTAATATGTGTATGTACTATATATATTTATTCTTATAGCAGCTAATACACAGAAATCATTCAACAAATTTTGACTATTTTTACTTTTTATAACATCAATGAAAACCCATAAGTATCCAAGTTAATATTTGCCTACACAAGATAATTTAAAATCAAATTCATACTTCTTGGAAATAACAAATCTAAGAAGAAAATATGAAGTCTTCGATGAAATTCATACTGCAATTTTATAAAGAGTCCCGTGCCTCTAAAGATTTTCCCTATTGGCTTGATGCAGGTCAAAATTTAAAAGCAAAGTGATGTCTTTACAGTCTATAAACACTTAGAATCCCACTGTTCATTCATCCAGGGAGGTGAGGGAAGGCAGCAATCCACTTCTCAAGAAGCGGAATGAAGCTTGTTAATATAGATGTCACTTCCCTGATTATTGTCCTGGAAATCTCTGTGCTCTCCATACGAGATAAAACCATATGGAAGTAGAATAAGCTTGTATGTGAATATAGGCATCCATTCTTTAGCAGAAAAAAGCTCTCTCTTACATAAAATATAACAACTTTTTGCTTTTTTTTTTTTTGGTACCAGGGATCGAATTCGGGTCCTTGCCCTTGCAAGGCAGGTGCCAGAACCACTGAGCTAAATCCCCAGCCCTACAAGACTTTTTTGCTTTTAAAATCTGTATATCGTGTTTTACAACAGGAAAACTTTCATTAATTGTCTCCTCTTAGAAAAATAGCCTTTGCTTACTTTTTCTTGGCCATATTTTGTATATAACTTCATTAACTGAGAAAAACTCTCCTCCTCTGAGAGGACATAGCTTAGGAAACCTACAGTTACCACTTCAGGACCATGGGGTTTAATTTCTGGATCCAGGACTGTGGGTTGCAAGTAGTAAACCCAACTCGTATTTAAGCAAAAAAGAATTTTTTGGATGTGGTTCCAGGTATCTCATAGGATGAAAGGCAGCAGTAAATACCAATATTTGAAAAGAGTCTAGCAGTAATTACGCTTAAAGGAATCCTAACAGCAGCGTCACACTCAGAGCACCAAGACTCTCTTCTTTTTTTGTTTCTGTGTCTCCCTGAATAGTGACGTCCTTCTCTTTGTCACCAGAGATTAGCTTTCTGCAGATGATGGAAGGCATAACTGCCATTGATATTCTACTTTGACACCTTAGTTAACTGCACAGAACCAGACTGACTGTTCCAGTTCCAGTTCCAAACGTTTAGCAAAGAAGCTGAAAGGCCTAGTTTGGATTCGGTTAACTGGCACAAAGTAGAATACCACTTGGACCCACTTGAGTAAGGTGCCCAGTCAAGCCCAGTCTACCGTCTGTATCACATTGTGCTACCATGCTGCTTTCGGTGGTTTACAAAGACTGGGTGCTGCATTCTCTGCAGAAGCGGTCCTGGACTGACTTTTCCTCTAGAGGCTCCTGCAGTGGACGTACTGGGGGGAAATCCAAAGGAATAGATAGTTCTTGCTTTCCCTTTGCCAGCAAAGCCTGCCTACGACCCCGAGAACTTCCAGCTAAGAGTGTCCATTTACTGTCAGGAAGTTCGGGGTGGTGGGACAAGTTCTGGTGCCGCACATGAAAGGAGCAAGCGGAGGGGGAGAAGGAGGGCGCAGCAGCGAAGCCTCGCCAGCATGAAGCAGAGGGCTGTGGACCTCCCAGCTCTTTTCAGATTAAATCCTTATGCTTCTCCCAGCTGCCTCTCTCTTCTCTCCTGCCTTACACCTCTTTTTAATATTTTCTCCCATCACTTTTAAAATGAAGTCCTTCTGTTTCACTTACAAGACTTCAGTCCTCTTCCAGAGAAGCAGTACAACCCTGGAGGGCGGAAAAACTGAAGCAAGGCAGAAATTCCTCTTTCAGAAAGGTGCCTTTGTATGTCTTCTTGCTCTTTGTTTTAGAATGACAGAATCTGAGGAGTGAAACAGATGGACCTTGAGAGTCATCCAGTCCCTCTTTTGCTGTGTTCAATCATCCGATCTCTGCTATCCGGTCATGCAGGCTACTGATGACTTACCGAATCAGAGCTCACCCCTCTTCCGGAGAGTCCATTCTATCTGAGATAGTCCTATCAAAGTGCTACTTCTATTAAGCTCCAACTGGCCAAAAAAAAAAAAAAAAAAAATCTGTCCTTCCTTGTTGCTTCCAGCAATTCTACTACCTGGAATCAGAAAGTTCTAGTATGGCTCTTCCATGCTTGTCTCTCAAATTCGTGTCCGTCGTGTTTCTCCCTCAGTTCACTCTCCAGGCTCAGTCACTGTTCCTCCTGTAACTCTTCTCTGTCGTACAGGATTTCAGGTCCCTCTGTAAATCTGAGCATTCTAGTTTAAAATCTTTACTTACTCAAGCGTTCTGCTCCTCGCATTCCCTCCCACAAATAACCAGGTATAATCTTCCAGATGAGAAAAGATCAGACCACTAATAACCTCTCCTAATATAGGTGTCGGACTTCGATTCAAGAGAATCATACTTATCTTTTGGAAAGACAAAAACTATGCTTACTCATTCTCGTGCTAAAAATTAAATAGTTGTTCATTGATAGTGAACTTTGAATATAAAAAGGATCTACATATTACATGAAATTGGAGGAAATAAGAGTTGATGTGAGAATGTCAAATATCAGTAGTTAAAATTGGACTGGAAAGGGAGATGGGAAATTCATGAATTCCTGTAGCTCTTCAAATCACATGTGTGGTTATCATAATATTAACATGATCCAATAAGTAAAAAATAATGGGCAGAGGAAGTCCATATCGGGATGATTTGATTCCTTTCTTTCTCGTAATGAAATCCATATACTTAATGTATTTAAGGATTTTATATCATAGTATACATAACTAAAAGACTCTAAGATAAGAAACACAGAGGATACCTTACCTTTAAGAAGCCAACAATTTAGAAGCTATAAGAAAAATCCTTTGCTACCCTCACCGAAAGAAGCTGTGTATCAAAAAAAGCAAGTCGCTATGTTAGATTTCATCAACTTGTTAGCCCCAAAAAGGTTCAGTCTACTGAGTTCAGATGTAACTCTAACCTCATTTACTTACAAGAGGGAAAGAAACGCAAGACTGTAGATACTTTGAAATTGTATCAAGCAATTTAGGAAATAAATTAAAGATTCATTAGGACAAGAAAGATCAACTTCATCTAAATTATGTTTATATTTGGCAAGTTACCAAAGGAATCCCAGTCTTAGTATCATTTGTTCATTTTCTAAATATCACACTAATAAAGATAGAATTTATAGCTTTACTTTAGGATTAAAGGAAAACTTCATGACCCATGTGGTAGGTACATTGAAGTATTGGGCAAACTTTAGGATTAATTGCTCTATGCATAAACAAAGACAGAATTACCTGTTTCCCAATTGCCTTACTTATACAAAATTTTTTATTTCTCCAACAGGTTGTTTGGCTTTTACAAGGGAATTCTGCCACCCATCTTAGCAGAAACTCCCAAAAGAGCAGTAAAGGTAAGGACCATATGCCATCTCACCAAGGGAAAACAGGGTGTCGTGATAGCATTAGCATTAAAATACCCCACAATAAACAAGGGAACACGAAGATGACCTAAACATAAAACACTAAAATTTTTAATGCAGAAATTGCAGCATAAATTTTATTATAATCAAGATGGCCAATCTCTCGAATATGTATATTGGTTTGTAGATTCTTTTCAGGTAAAAGTACTCCCTTTTAATGAGGAAATTATACAAAAGCACAGTGGTGAATTAAATTCATGTAATCAAACCACAGAAGCCACAAAATAGCTTGGACCTTTTCTCAAAGCAATTCAGAAATTTTCCTTTGGAGCAATAATTGTTAAAGAGGAGCGGCAGAAAAACCTCCCTTCCTAAATTAGTCCCATTTTATGAAATATACTATATTTCTTTGTATATGATTAGTGTATAGCATATTTGTTTGGCCTGTGAACTTGATTTTCCCCTAGCCTCCCCTGTTAAAATTATCTGTTTAGTGCTTACAGGGTTATTATTTCCACTACCCTGATTTCCATTTCTTTAACCACGTAACTGTGGGGTTTTATGTATTCCTTGTGGGTCGGTATCTGTAAAGGAGTAGGGAGATGGGCCAGAACTTCCACAGATGAAAGATCTGCATCTGCACGCTTTTCATATGTTCTCAAACAAAAATCCTGATTACAGTAGGTCTGGGTGGCTTCGCTCCCTTCCCCCCTCACTACTGGTATCACCAAATATGGCTTTGTCTTTAGATAAAAATAACTGGCTAAACAACTTCCTTCCAACTTTATGTCATTTGTTATAATGACAAAGTCTTTTTCATGTACATTACACAATTTATATTCCCAATATTCCTGAAAGGCAAGAGGGAACAGCTAAAATACTTTTACTGAGTAAGTCAGGGGCGGGGGGAGCTGGGTTGAAAATTATGGTGAAATAATCAACATATACACACAAACATCAACTTTTTACATTATGTCAAAATAGTAATTTAATAGAATATAATTCAGGTCTAGAGTTCAGAAAACAAAGCTTCAAAACATACTTTCTTTATAAATCTCTTCTCTTTGCTGCTAAAGTTTTTGTGATTTTTATATTATTACTTCAATACAAATTTCATTATAAGGGCCTGAATCGCTGTAGAGAATCTGGAAAAAGTTCACCACAGTACACAAAAGGGCTGAATTGAATTATGAAATGGCTTCACTTGATAAAAGATTGCCCAAGTAAACAAACAGAACAGAGTTCCTGTTCAAAAGGAAAGTCACTTTGTCTCCGTGGAATAATATATTCATTTGTGCAGTGTTTTACATGTATAAATAAAGTAAATTATAATGAGTTTTTCCTGGAATATTTTTTTCTTAATACTACATATTGGAGACAATTTAAACTATAAGAAGATTAAGGTTTATCAACATTGAACAATCTTTTACCAAAAAAAGTTGAACTTTACAAAACTAAGTTAGTCTATACCAAAAAGAAAAAAAAAAGCAGTGTTCTGTGCCAGAACAATGGTTAACAGATGAACTTTTGGGCAACTGGATATGGTATGTGAGTCCCAGACATCTTGTTTCAAGTAGATTTTACCTTAAAATTATTGAGACATATGGTAAGTGTGTTGGCTTTTTAAAGTACAACTCGGAGTTAAGTGTATCTTTGCCAGATGGATAGTACTAGTTTTTCAACACAATGTATGAAAACACTCATTTTTATAGATATTTATTTTAGGGTTGTGAGGAGAGCAATCACCTGATTCTAATGATTTCATACATCATAAACTGTTTCATTGTATGTCATCAAAGTTTACTTCAGAAAAAATTCTGAGACACTGTGTGCATATGTGCATGACTATGTGTGTGTGCGTGTGAGTGTGTGTGTGTGTGTGTGTTGTATATTTATTGATGTGGACCTTCAGTTATAACTGTTACCATAATTAGAAACAGACAATTTTAACTTTGTACTTTATTCTTTGAAATTAGATTAATTGTTACAGTAATAAGACTCATTGATGCTAAATAAATGATGAAAACAATGAAACTTCTCATTTCACACATCAAGACAGAATTAGCATTGCAGTTCAGTGAAATAAAGACCTAAGAAAGAGGCCAACTGGTCCTAACAGGCAGGAAGCACCATTTTCCTGGTTCTAGGGTCCAATCTCAAGTCTCATCTGTCTAGAAATACCATTTTGCCATGTTCCAATATCAAGGACTGCCTTGTGCTAACCAAATTCATGACAGATTATAGCTGTGAAGGCTATTTATTCACTACTGTATACCTGCACTTATTTGGGGGTCTACACATAGTAGGTGTTCAACTGAATAAATGAAACATATGTAGAAAGAAACATTGGACATGAGACAGTGAAAGATAATATTTGAAAGATGAGAAACGAATGAGATAAGCCATGCAGATGCTCCAGCTTACTCCCTTGAGAATGTCTCCAGGTCCTAGGCAGGGAGGGAAGTAAAGGCAGAGCCCAGTAGACTCCTTGGGGAAATAAGGAGCTAAGAGGCTGGGGAGAGCAAAGTAGCTAAAGCTGACAGGATAGAATAGCAGTGCAGAGCAAGCTGCATGGAGAGGACACCCGAGATCTGCAGAGAAACCCTCACGTATTTGACGGGTATTGCTCAGTGAGAACAAGCAAGGCCTGGGAAAGAACCATTCAAGAGGAGTAGAGGGACAATGGCCAGCAGTCACACAGGGCTGAAAACAGTGCCTGTACCCATCAGCCAAACTGGGAAACCTCAAAACTCAAAGGCCATTTTGAGGAGTGCTCAGAAATTCTTCCCTCAGGAGTGGGAAGAATTAGCCCTGTACAGAGCACTACATAAGCCCTACTTGTTAAAAGTAAGACAAAAACAGCCAAACCACATCCCAGAACAGAGTATCAGGGACATTGCATTGATTGTCTGGTTGCTTGCTGGGCATAAAGGGAAAGGCAGAGAACTGCATCAGCAAAGCAAAGTGTAGCCATGTCCCCTGTCTTCTCACACTTTTCCATTCAATCCCGCCAGATTACCAGTTTCTAGGTACCTGTGTAAATTAGATATAGCATAATTCATCCATAGTCCAGATTTTATGCTCAATGTTCCTAAAAAATGTTAATTGAATATGGATGGTTTCAAAATTCCTTAGTCATGCATTTCCATGACTTTGGAAGAAACTTTATGTTGATGTTCTGAATTTCATTCTTAGGATGTAGCTTTATATCTTATGTGACATTACTTTTATCAATCTCTGCATTAGCGAATGCTGTGGCTGAGAAATTATTTTAAAAAATGAAAGCCATAAAGTAGTAGCATTGTATGGAAAGGAATTAAAATCCTAGTCATTAGTCCTTAAGAATATAATTCTAGCAGTTTTCTAGGCTTTAAACATGATAGATACACAATGTGATGTCTGACACGTTGAATGAATGTTTTTAATAACCATTGATTTCAAATACAATGAAGACATTTGTCTTATTTCACTTTTGAAATATAAAATACTTATTTACATTTATAATATGCCACTTATTTTACTATTAAAATAAGAAAAATCCATTTTAGAAGAGTTCGATTTTCTATTCTTAAGATACTGTTTCACTTAACATTCAGCTAGATTTTCGTGCGAAAGTAGAAATTAAAATGTTTACTTTTAAGCATTATTTATTTACCTTAATGAGTCATAATATATTGTTTATCACTTTTGAATTTAATATCCCAACAATTTGTACAGGGACCTGTAGGGCTTTTCTGTTTCCAGGATCCTGAATTATTTCATCGTAATCATTCACCTAAATCTTCCATGAAGACTGCAGATGGTAGCTGGGTGTGGTGGAACATGCTTGCAAGCCCAGCACTCTAGGAAGCTGAGGCAGGAGGGTCACAAGTTAAAGCCCAGCCTGGGCAGCTTAACAATTTAGGAAGAACCTATCTCAAAATATAAAATATGGGCTGGAGATGTAGCTTGGTACAAAAACCCTGAGTCCAATCTCTAGTACCAAAACAGCAGCAACAACAAAAATTAAATAGCAAAACAAAACAAATGAGCAGCAAAAAAAATCCTATAATACTTTATTTATAGTTTCTAGTATATATCTCATTAAAACTTATCACCACCTACCAGGGTGTGATATCAAGAAGGCAGGGGTTTCTGATTTATTGGTTGCATTTCAGTGCCAAGAATGAAAAGAATCAAGTAAATATTTATTATACAAGTGAATGAGCGAGTCCCCATTATTTAAAAGTCTATGTCCATAGCTGATCTAAAAGATGATGACATAAAAGGAATTTCTGGTTCTTTAAAAATCCAAAATCCATCTGGTGGTATAATGATAATGTCTCTTGTGCTGTACAAAGACTGACTAAGGCCATGTCTACAAGGAGCTAGCTCTTTTTAATATCAGGGTATTATTTGGCCTCCACATTTGTTCTTCTTTTTATTTCCATATTTTACCAGACTTTAAAGAAATAGGGTAGAAAGCTTTTGTTTTCCAAGCCATTTCTTTGGGTTTGAGAATCATTATTAGGAAGCCCTAAGCCTGTGCCTTATCAGTGAAATACCCAACAAGTAATCAGGAGCAAAAATTATTTTCAAGCAGAGTTGTTTCCCAAAATCTGGACTATAGAAAGAGAAGGGGAATCTATTATATGAAGTAATTAATTAGATTTCCATCCATAGAGATTTGCAGAGAAAATAATATTAGGTATAATCTTCCATAAAATATGTAAAACTCTTGAAGACATAGGCATAGGCAAGAACTTTCTTAGAGCCCCAATTGCAGAAAAAAGTAATACCAAGAATCCATGAATGGGCTTATATCATATTAAAAAGCTTCTGCACAGCAAGGGAAAAGCTAACAATGTGAAGAGACAACTTACAGAATGGAAAACTAGATTCTAGCCACTTGTTGGACAGAGGTCTGATATATAGAATACAAAGAACTCAAAACTTATCCCCCCCCAAACAAAAGACCCATTAAAATGGGCAATTTAAATGAGCAGACATTTCTCAGAAGGAGTACAAATGCCCAATCAGTACATAAAAAAAAGAGGGTTCAGCATCTTTGGCCGTTGGAGAAATGCAATTCAAAACAACACTGAGATTCCATCTTACCCCAATAAGAATGGCTATCATCAAGGACCCCAAAAGCAACAAATGTTGGCAAGCTAAGAGGAAAAAGGACCCCTTCTACACTGTTGGTGGGAATGTAAACTAGTACAACTATTATGGAAATCAATATGGAGATTCCTCAAAAAATTAAAACTAGAAATTCTGTTTGACCCAGGTATTCCTTTTCTGGGTATGTTCTCAAAAGAGTTAAAGTTATTGTATGGAGAGAGATATATATATTACAATAACTATATCCATATTTACAGCAGCACATTCACAATTGCTAAATTATGGAAGTGACCTATGTGCCAATCAACAAATGAATCGATAAGGAAAATGTGACATATATTTTATATAAGAAATATACAACATATAAAATATATATAATGGAGTACTTCTCAGCCATAAAGTATAAATTTGAGTCCTTTGTAGGAAAATGGTGAAGGGTAAAGAAAAGGATAGTGGGGGAGGGGTGTAAAAATGATCAGGATGCAATATGTATGTGGACCTATTCCCCATGATAAATGTAATTATTGTGTGTTGCAAACAATACCAACAATGAAAGCATCTTCCGATGGAATTAGCATCTTCATCATCAGATTTTAAAGGAAGGAGTAAGTTTCTGTCTCTCTTGATTCGGGTCAAGGACAATCTTGCTTTGAGGCAGCAGGTAACGAGATAACCTCTTTGGGTCCTTCTCTAGTTTATTATGGCATCTTCAGACCATGTAATGTTGAAATTCCATGGAGCAGTTAGGAGACACAGCAATATAAATGCAAGTTAAAGCTGAGAAATGGATGTCTTTTACAAGTGTGTTAGAAAATTGGGCATTTTCTGGGAAAGCAGTTCATAGAGAAAACATAGAAGACCAAAGATTTTGGGTCTCTGTGCCTATAATGTTGAATCACTGCCATAAAAAAGAAGTCTATTGATGTCTGGGGAAACTCAAAATGGTCATGGTAAATGGAAGTTGTATGGTTCATTTGCTGCTATAAAGGATTCCATCAGCTCTTCTGTAGGTTATTATAACTGCATTTGAAAAATGTGAATGTTAAAATAAGATCCAAAAGCAACTACCCAAGACAGGGTTTATAACAGTGTTAGATGGTTTATCATTTTTTAAATGCTGGTTAATACGTGGCTTACTATAGAAATCTTAGCCAAGTAAAGAGCTTGTTGCAGGAAATTGTTATAAATCTCTGGGTTTGGTTTTGTTTCACAGTTTTTCACCTTTGAACAGTACAAGAAATTGCTAGGATATGTGTCACTGTCACCAGGACTGGTAAGTGAGAGTATTTATTATACTTAAGTGTGTGTGTTAGTTTGTAAAGCAAAATCTAGAAACAAAAACCTTTTTGATTCCCCAAGCCCAGCTACTAAAATATGAATTTGAGTTATTCAATGTTCAGCTTCTTGTTGAAAGCCATCTTCCTAATAACTCACAATTTGGCTATTTTATAGCTCCTGGTGATGAATTTATGATAATAATTCGTCTGGAAAGTCCTATATGAGATGTGGTCAAGAATATAAAATAAAGAGTACATTTATCAAAGATTCTCTTAAAAACCAAAACATACATATGTTTACATACACACTGCATATATCTATTTATGCAAAAGTCAGTATGCCTGAGATTATTTCCTAACAGGTCACTTTTCCAGCTGTTGCTCAAGCTATAGTAAATAAAGATTTCAAGTCACTTGAGATAAAATCACTCTGTGGTCAGTCGCAGACTGAAGGGCCTTTTATAAGAATGATTGTAAACAACTCAACCAAGGAGAATACTGTTCTTACAAAGGCACAGCTCAAATATTACACAAAATTCACTTGGTGATTTGAACCCTTCCCTATGCCTCTTCTCTGTTTAGTGACTTTACTGCTTTTCATAAAGTGAGTCAAATTATGTTGGCCAAATGTGTGTGCATCAAGAGCCTCAAAGAGAGAACACATGCATTAAGATCTTCTTGCAGACCTGTGAAAGAAAACAAGACAGAGTGAATTCCTGCTTCAATTGGCAAGTTACACCCCCCCAAAAAAAATGTACCTCAAAACTCATAAGTGAGGCAATGTTCTGAGTTTTAATTATTAAATGTTCCTCCATTTACAATGGAATTCCTGCTGAAAATCCCACCATACACTGAAAATACAGTCCTGTAGTTAATACACCTGGCCTGCCCACCATCAAACCTTTGCAACATTAGAATATCTACTGCTTACCCTCCTGATAGCATTAGGACTGGGAACTGTGACTCACTGCCACTGCTCAACATCTCAAGAGAGAGGATGGTAGCACATGTAGTTAACCCTGGAAAAGGCACAAATTCCAAGAATGAAATGTGTGTCAATTCAGCATCATCATAAAGTTAAAAACTTATAGGTTGAGCCATTATATATTAGGGGCCATTAGTACCTCACTTGTAAGTATTCATTTTAGAATATTTACTGTACCAAGGAGATGATCCTGAAAGTATCTGTTTTCTAAAACCAAGCATGCTCCTTTTCTAGAAAAGATCCTGTTAAGAAACCTATCGCTATCACTTTCTGTAAGATAAAAAGATCTCCTGCCCAGACTCCTACCCAGACAAAGCATACCCTCTTGGAAAGGAGCAGTTCTGCCATGAATCTCACAAAATTATGTTAAGGTTTTGTTTTTAATTTCATGGTGTCTTCCCTTAATATCATCCTTAACTTTGGAAACATCTTACAAAAGGGAAGATTAAAAACTTCCTAGCTAGAGAAAATAAAATATGGTCTCCAGAGGGCCATCTGGCTTGAACGTTGGTATTATGTGAGAGAGGGGCTGTATTTGGCCACTCTAGCTACTATAACTGAATGCTTGCAAAGTGTATGCAGTTCTCTTTTCTGGAACTCATTTTTTTATACCTAGCCATTAAATACGCCCTGGTGTTCACATGTAACGCCTAGGAGACTGGAAACCCAATAGTGAAGCATGTCTCTGCAACAGCCTAAGTAACATGATCTGCTGATCGCTGATCAATTCTTTTGACAAGGGACTGCTGAACACTAGTTCTGACAGCAATTGTAGCTGGGCTTTATAGAAAAACAAAAAAAAGTGAATTAGTTGGAAGATTGCATATAGTAAGTAATAAAAACCTGAACATCTGGATTTTAGCTTTCCCAGTCAGAAGAGCTAAAGACCTGGAATTTTTATTCTTTCTGCTTTTGGCTTCCGTGATGGAAGCCGGAGATAAATGAATAAAATATCTGATTATACTTAAAATTTTGTAATGAAGTGGGTTAAAAGGAGAACATACATCATTAGTTATTCATTCTCTCGTAGACTGTGCAATACTACTCTTTCTCTCTATGTGCAAGAACAACGGTGTTTGAAAACCACTTTCACAGAGTGAAAAGTTTCACAGAACTTTTCACATACATTATTTTGACCCTTATAATATCTTTCTGAGGTACAAAAATCTGATATTATTTCCATTCTATAGATGAAAAACTCTGGCTTATCAAACATTCAGTGATTCCTACACCACCCAGTAAGAGGATTGTGAGAACGTGTCCCTTCTCCTGACTGCTGCTCTCCAGGGCTGTAGATTGGCAAGTGGGGTGCAGGCTGGCTTCAGTCCCCACACCCTTGGCTGAGCAAGTTTGTCTGTGCACATGCTACTGTCTGCGGCAGCTTTGACGAGATAGCCAGGAAGCAGCAGAACTAGGACCTAAACCCACACCTCCCAGATCTGGATCCTTCCTTTGTTCCACCCTACCTGCCTCGCTAAGGTTACAGAGCACTCCTTTCTCCCTTCCTTCTTTTCATCTCTTATTTTGAAGCTATTAGAGGCTCTTAAGAAGAGTTATCTGCTCCTCTTCATTGGTTTTATCCTTCTCCTGGTCCTATACAGTAGAACTTATTCTCCTAGAATTAGATATTCAGCAGCAAAGAATTATTTTTTTCTGGCATCCAGTCTGGAGGCTTTGCTTCATTTTGTTTTACAGGTATGTTTGTGTGTATTTTAATTGCCATGGTTATTCTGGGTACACATTTTCTGGAAAACTCTTAAACATTGTACTGAAAAGACAATTCCATAAAATTGTTCTTTCCTTCCGCTTAAATTCTAAACTGACAGCTAGTGAGAAGCTGGCATACAATCATCTTTTGGTAAATCTTCCAGATTTTGAGTTGTTCAGAACAACCTAACCATTTCTCATCTCACCTTCTGTTACTCAGTGCTTAAGTCCAGAAATAGGGCAATAGGGCAATTGTTCCTTTGAACAAATAAAGAATGAGTAAAAATTAATTTTTGTTTACTAATAGTCTAGACTCTAGGAAATGACTGTAAATTTAAATGTGTCCAGCTATGCTGTTTTTATTATCTGAAATTCAACTTTTTAAGAATGTGTCTGTGGCTCAGTTCCTTGAGTTTTTTGTATGTTCAATAAATGCATTTAAAGAAATGCTTTATAATGAAACTTTCCTTTTGTAATTTAAACTCTTTTTTTCAGCTTTAATTGAGTTTATTGGTACATTTTAGGGATACATTACAGTTACATTCATTGTTGGGATCTTGTACCTCTACATGACAAGTCTTGGTTCTCATTTTTTCCCCTTGTCTCTGCCCTCCCTTCACCCCCTCCTCCCCTCCCCATCTACAAACACTTTATTTTCATCTTTTCATTATCTCACATTTTTTTCTTTTCCCTTATTACCCTTCCCCTACCCATCCCACCTTCCCTACACCTTTAGCTCCTTTCTTCCCATTTCTAAATGTCAGTAATCTTATTAGGATCTTCTGTATTTACAATTTAAACTCTTAATGATCATCTGTGCAGATGTTTTAGAATCCACCTTAAATCAGTGAAATATCCTTTTTTTTTAAGGGAAAAGTCATTGTCAATGGGGGTTTGGCATTTTATTTTGAAATTATTAGGATGTGGCTTATGGTTTCTGTAATTTCTTCTTCATGAATTCTCAGCATCTAATCAAGACCTGAAGTTGTTTAGTAATGGTATATGGTATACTTGTGTGGGTTTCTCCATTCTCATGCTAACATCCTGCTGCACAGTGTAACGAATAGGATGCTTAACCTAATATGCATGATCACTTGTTTGAAAGTAATGACTGATATAATTTTTCTAGACATTTGCCATTGCTGGACTCGGATCTGGACTAACAGAAGCCATCGTGGTTAACCCTTCTGAGGTGGTAAAAGTTGGCTTGCAAGCCAGTCGGGACACATTCACAGAGGTAACCATTTAGCATTTTCCTACTGGTAAGGGAATGTACAAAACTATTCTTAACTATACAAATAAAATTATGAACTCAGCCTTTATTCACTTATTAAAGCCATACTAAATCATTGTTGAGAAAGTAGCATAAGAAAAACCCAACCATCTTCTAAAAGGAAAGTGTTAGCAAAAATGCACTAAGATCTTATGGACAAACACACCTTTATACATTTTTATTTTAGAGCTCTAATATAATCTAGAATGACATATTTGGAAATGTTCTTCTGGCTTTTGGCAAAACCTCACTTTCACATTGCACTAGAATAGACTACAGCAAAATCACCGAGGTGATAATATTACCATGTTTTTAAAAAATGAAATCATTTTTTAAAATTACCTCATTCCTTTCCCTACTCCCCAAAAGGTTCTGATAATCTGTCAAAGTTGCCTTTTGGTTAAATCTGAATGAGCAAGTTACTAGTCTCGTGTAGACGTCACCACGTGGACAGTGATGGATCCTGACATTTAATCATTGGTACACCGTGTTCCATGCAGACAGCTTCCCTTGGTCCATGCTGCCTTCACTTCCTTCTTGTTGCCTAATAATTCCCCTTGAACGGCCAAGTCCAACTGTTCTTATTTTATTCTTCTGGATGCCAAAAACAAGGTGAGGACAAAACAAAGAGGTGAGCATTCCAGGTCATTTCTTAGCATTTTAACTTAATTGAACAACTGGATAGCATTTGGTATAAATTGATTTAGAGTATCGGCTCACCTGCATTTTTCTGTAGAAAAGTCCCCCTCCCTGCTATTTAAGCAGCTGCTAATGGGTGGGGACCCCCTCGTCCTCAACCCACTTCCTGCTTGCTGATATTGCTTGAGAGCTTCCTGACAGCTTCTTGGGCAGAGGCATAGGGAAAAAGGGGGGGCCCTCCTTGCCTGTAGCTGCCAAGACCTGGGATGGGGAAAGTTGGGGCAGGGTTTAGGCAGCCACAGCAGATGGTATCTTTTCAGATGAAGTTAATCCTAATTCAGCGAGGTTTTTTGTTTTTTGTTTTTTTAATTTTAAGTTTCAAAATGTTATTTCAACCTCAGAGGGGCTTGAAAAACCTCTGTATACCTCTAGTGTATGTTTATGCTCTACTCTTTCTTGAATGAGGAAAAACATGGTGAAGAGGCGGGGTGCGGGGGGAGATATGTTTCAAATGTCCTGTCAAGATGAAGCATTTCAAATGCTTTCCGTGGGGCCTGTCAGGAATACTTAGTTTAAAATTGGGAGAATTCCTAGCTAGGAGAAAATGTTGCTGCATCCAGTGTCTCATTGGGAAGCTCAGCATGAAGCAGCAGAGCTACAAAGGAAGAAAGTCTTCAGTTGCAGGTTTTTATCTAGTTAACATGTCACTGCAGGAACACAAATAGGTCAGCTCACCACCAAAACCTCACAGGAATGAAAACAGTAAGTTTTGCATGCCTAATGTTCTTTTTTTCTCCTTTGCCCCAAAGGAGGCTCTATACTGAGTCCAAGTAAGCATTGTCAATGTTGCATGTGCTCACACCCTGCTAGAATACTATAAACAGCATGCCAGGCAGACACAAGGACTTGCTGCTGAGTATGTGCTTCTGGCACCTTCACACAAGTGCAATCTGTGTAAACTATTTATGTTTTTCAAGCCATTTTCAAGTGGGGAATAAAGGGAGCTTGTTTAGGGTCATTTCTTTTACAGAATCCCCTGAAATGGAAGTTGTTGGAACTTAGAATAAAATCTATTAGATGCATAATAAAATATGTTAATATTCTATAAATCAGAACCTAGCCTACTGCAAAAAAAAAAAAAGTCTGAGCAAAGGATATCATGATGAGAATAGAAAATTTGGATCTAGTAATGGTCATTTTTGCTGCTGTTTCACGGGTCTTTTGTCCAAGTCCCGTTAATGCTGAAGACTTCCTCTATTTACTAGTCTTTGCTTTTATCCTACAAGGGGATACCCTTTGGTCACTCTGTACCTGTGTGATTGAATTCAAATATTAGCTGAACTCACTTCAGCCTTTGCATGGCCAAGAGTAATTGTTTCCTTCACTCTAAGGCCTTGTAGGTTGACAAGTACAAACAGAGGGAAGGGGTAAATAGGAAGGAAGAAAAAGAGGAATGAAGTCTTTAATTCATTGCATTTGAGGGTTGTACTTCTTTTTTATAATGTTTTTATTCAGCTTTAAAAGAAATGTATATTTTTGTTAGAAAACACAAAAAACAATATAGTATTATACATGTGTAAGTGCGTAAATGCACAAAAATTTGTCTAGATTTTAGAGCAGGGCTGGTTCAATAGAAACAGTGTGAGTCACATTTTCTATAGTTAGGTTTGTTTATTTGTTTATTTTTGTTTTGTTGAGAATAGGTCTTTCTTTGTAGTTCAGGCTGGCCTTGAACTCACTCACTATGTAGCCCAGGCTGGCCTTGAACTAGCTAAAGTCCCCCTGCCTCAGCCTCCCCAGAGCTGGGATTACAGATGTGCACCCCCATGCCCAGCCACCGTGGAGTCCAACATAGACTCATTGAATTTTCCTATTTCTTCACCCTGAAGTGATGAGTTAGTGTGGTCTTTTAAACGTGATGTTTCTCAAGAAGTTGCTGCAGCTGAGAGGGGCTGTGCAGTGGAAGACAGCCTAAGAAAACAGTAGTCTATTACATTTTCTCTTAAATTTAACATCTGCTAGGCAGTGGTAGGGTGATAAAGATGAAACAAAGGACAACCGCAGTCTGGCTGCATAGAATGTGGTCTAGAAGGAGGTGTGGGATGAAAGTGAATGTGGGGAAGATGTCATTGGCAGAGGACCAGAATGGAGCCTTCTGAACTGTGGACCCCATGGGCCTGATCCTGGGCACTGGTAGCTGAGGTTCAAGTGCAGCACAGGCTGAGAGTAGAAGCTCCTTCTCTTGTGCTCTTGGCAGTGATGAGAACTACAGTCCTGGAGCTTCAAGTGCACTTCCCATCCCACCCCTAAAGCATGGCAGGTTCCAGCTGTCCTGGTTGTCTTCTCTTGGCCTGGGTTGCTTCTCTAGCCAGTCAGGAAATGTGCCTTCCTTCCCACTTTAACCATAAACTACTCCAAGAATTTCAGGGAAACTGTGGTTACTTTGGTTCCCGATGCTACTCTCATACCCTTCCAATTTATATATAAAATATTTCAGTAGGTGTGCTTATCTTGCCTACACTTTTTAAAATTACCACTATATCAGTCAGAGACTATAATCCCTACTACACTTCCTCCAATTCCAATACCGGAAAACTTTGGCCGGCATCTTAAAATTCATAAAAAATAAAGAAAACCAATCTCTAATTTAAATGTGCTTGATCTTCTGTGAGGAGCAGACTAATCGCATCTTTGTCATGCTCTGGTTTGGTTCAGTGGGTGTAAAAACATGTTCAGATAAAATCGGGATAGATCTAAATTTCCCCCCATCCTTCAAACTAAACCCAAGCAAAGAGTTGTTCTGGTTTGTAATCTCCTTGGCTTAGGACTAAGCTTGCCTAAGGTTTGCTCTACTGGAGATGGTTTACATGTCCTGTCTTGCCAAAAGTGTTAGTCTCTGGTTTGTTGTCCTTATAGAACCTTTCTTTCCTCTAACTGTATGCATTTTTAAATCCGTAGATTTCTAAGAACTAGAAGTCTTCTATCACTTGTGCACAGCCAAGTGGCATTTGGCTGGCAAGCTCTCCATTAGTCTGGAAAATGTGAATTTCTCTCTAGGAGCGAAATCTTGTATGAATTGTTTCCCAGTTTTTCTCTACACTTTGAAATTTACTTCAAAGTTATTATTTGGCTGAAGGGTTTTGTTTTCCTTCCCTAGAGGTCTGCTCAATTTGCCTCTGACGTGTGGCTGGGGCACAGGTTTTCCTTCTACTCTGTCATTTCTGTCTACATTACACATGAATATAATCATCCTCACCCCCAAATATTAAGTGAAATCTTTAGGAAATTGCAAAAGCCTGTTTTACCTTTATGTGGTCTTTAAAAATATTCATCCAAAAAAGGAATAATAAGTCTTCTACTACTTGCTCTATACTTATAATTTTAAGGATAAATGAAGGGATAGTTAGATATGTAGTTGATGGTAAAATATTTAAAGATGGCAGTATTTCAAAAATTGCTTCAGGGCTTGCTTCTTGCTCTGGATAGCACCACTAGATATAGTTCAACACACTTTATTCTAGGAACTTACTAATCTAATAGAGACCAATTAGATCACATAAGGTATCACCAAGCTTGGGAAGTACTTCCTCCATAGACAATCAATAAGTGCTTACCTAAGTTTAATCATATTATGGAAGGTCAACATAAAGTAAATAGAAAGGCTGTACTTTGTAATCATCTCTTTCAAAAATGAGAGCGAAGAAATTGTGTTATATGAAGAGTGAACGTGTGGCTCTGTTTACACATGGTGTGAGAAGCCAGCTTCATGGGCATGTCAACATTCGTGATGATGAACTAAGTTAAATTCAGATTTTCCTTGAATTACTATGTGAAACACACACCTGGAAACTATTCAGTATCTCAATTATTTCTTTCCAGTCTGTGATGCTTGTGGGCAGAAAAAGAGAATTATGCATATGAATCCACTCCTATAGTTATCTTTCAACAATACCTAAGAGAGCAGCCAAGTTGCTTCTCCATTTTCCTTTACAGAAGATAGACTTCCACTTTGCTGTGCCATGAACTCTAGATTTTTGCTTTCAGCAACAAGACTCTGAAGTACTGATAATATCTGCCATTTGCAGAGCATCTCCTGTATGCCAGATGGCTTACCTGAATTTCCCTCTTCCTGTATTAGAGATTTTATAAATTATTAAAGTAATATTTTCCCACAAATTCAGCAATAAAGAACTATATAAAGAAAGAAATTTGATTAATTCTGCCAACACTTCCTTCTCGTCTTATCCTGCTGGTCACCTCTGTAAACCCTTCTCTTTTCCCCGTTGCTCATGCTCATTTGATACTTAAACCCCTCCCACTATTTC